GACATTTTGGATTTTATTCTTATTCAGGTGATATATAGGTGATAAAAATCAGAGCAAAGATGGATAAAAAGAGATTGAACTGCTTCCTATTGGATATTTACTCTGACATTTCTTTGAAATGCTAATGATGCCTTGAATAGCTATCAGATTGGAATTCACATGTATTTAGTTCTGTACCTTGGCATGAAATATCCACTTATCAAAAGAGAAGTGTAAAATTAAATGAGACAAGTTATGACAACAGTTTAATCTATGTATTTTGCCTCCGTTTTGTCTAAAGAAAGCACAAAAAATTCTTTCCAAAGTATACTTTTTAAAATATACAGAAACAAAGGAGTAGATCCCACATGATTATTATGTCAAAATAATCTTTATTGAGTGTCTAATACAGTTATTACTGTATTTGTAAAAATGAAACCCTATAGATTAAAAATTATTATTGTAATAATATAAACATATTCTTAGTGTTCTATGCAGCATATATTGTTCTAACTGCTTTACTTCTTGCCATGGTCCAAATATTTGTGTTCTACCAAAATTCATATGTTGAAATCCCGACCCCCAAGATGATGGTAATAGGAGGTGGGCCTTTTGAGAGGTGATAAGAGAGACTCCAGAGAGCTCCTTTGTTCCCTCCACCATGTGAAGACCCAGGCAAGATGGTACCCTCTATGAACCAGAAAATGAACCCTCTCCTGACACCAAATCTGCTGGTGTCTTGATCTTGGACTACTCAGCCTCTAGGCCTGTGAGAAATAAATATCTGTTGTTTGTAAGATACCCGGTTTATGAAATTTTGTTATATCAGCCCAAATGGACTAGCACATTTATTATTCTATGATTTCATTCAATCTTCACAACACTTTTAGGTGTATTCTGTTACTATCATCATTTTCCAGATGTGGAAATAGAAACATTGCCAGAATTTATTTTGAAGAATATATTAATTCTTTAAAACTTGGGATATAGACTGAATTAGTTATCTATTGTCATATATCAAACCATCCCAAACTTAATGGCCATTAATATTGCTCATGATCCTGGTGGGTGTCTTCTTCTGGCCTGGGAAAGCCTCAGCTCCTCTTGGCTGTGCTTGCTGATGCATCAGTGGTATTGACAGAATGGCCTGAGTTTGGTACGTCCACTCTCACAGGTGGAAGTTGGCTGGCTTTTGGTTGGGGTAACAGGACTGACTGATGTATTAACCATGTCTTTTTATTTTCTATTTTATTTGCGTATTTTTATTTTTATCCTTCGGTCTCTTGGGCTCTTGCTGTGGAGGGACTGTCCCTCCTAGGGCTAACTAATTCCTAGAGATAGTAAACAGCTCACCCTTGAGCATGCTTTTCTTATACAAACTAACAATTGCAGAGCCCATACCCTCAATTACTTCCTTTATCTGGCTCTTAATCTCTAGGCCACTATTCATTCACCTGCTCTAATGACCAGACAACTAGGTACAGTTCCTATGCCCCAGAGTCTGCTAAAACTATTCAAACTAGCCATTCCTAAACCTGCTTATACCTGCTTTGTGTGTTTCTTTTCATGGAAACCATAATAAAGGCTCTTGCCCACAATCTCCCGTCACTTTGTCAGCCTCTTCCTGATGGACCCTGGTATTTCCCTGTGTGGCCCCTACAACGTGGCGTGCCTCTCGGATCAATGAGTATAGCGTCTGTCTTTCAGTGGCAATTGTCTCCTGATCTGTTGGTTTCAACATACCTGAAAAATAATAAAACCTACATTTTGAAACAGCTGGATAATGTGTCACCTCATCATCCAGCAGGCCAGCCTGGCTTGTTCACATGGTGTCAGGGTTCCAAGAGCAACAAGGGAACAAGTCTAATGCACACATGCTTTTCAGGTCTCTGCTTGTATCACATTTGCTGCAGTCTGATTGAGCAGTTCAAGGCACATGGCCACGCTGTGAGGGAGTCAGCCTGGGAGGGCTGGATAAGGGGAGAGCTGTGTCTGCAGGGAGCTGTGAGCAGACTGGGGCCATAACTGCAATCAATCCATGACATAGGCTTTCCAGGAGGCTTCATATCAACTTCTCATTTTCTTTGACTTGAATAATCTTTAGAATTTGGCCACTGGAAAAAGCAAGTAATATTTGTCTTTTCACCACTCTTGGCAGAAATGTTACCATCACAATGCTAAGAACTGCTATTCAGAAAACTAAGCTTTATAAGCTAACAACGAAATTATCTTTTACTTTGAGAAGTGACTGCTTGTGACTAGAGGACTTGGACAGTGTAAAGCATTGTGGGTGGTAATTATAGTCATTGTGGTTAAACTACAGAGGGGATGGTAACCCAATAATAATATTTGCAGAAAACCTTAAATAATATTACGCCCCTAAAATTCTCATTTTTCTAGATAATGAACATCGTCAGAAATTCTTTTGTTGAGATTTACAGAACCTTTTTCCCACAATAGGCAAGCTCTTTTCGACTGCTGAAGTGCAGTGGCGAGATCTCGGCTCACCACAAGCTCCGCCTCCCGAGTTCGTGCCATTCTTCTGCCTCAGCCTCAGCTGGGACTACAGGCACCTGACACCACACCCGGCTGACTTTTTTTTTGTTTTTT